TTTTTTTTTTTTTTTTTAAACTGCCAAGCTATTTTCCAGATTGGCTGTACCATTTTCCATTTCCACCAAGAATGTATGAGACCCAGTTTCTCTGCATCATTGCCAGCACTTGGTGTTGTGACTGTTTTTTTATTTTAGCTGTTCTAATGGGTGTGTAGTGATATCTCATCATGGTCCTAATTTTGCATTTTCCTAAATGGCTAATAATGTGGAACATCTCTTCATGTGCTTACTTGCCATCTGTATATTTTCCCTGGTGAAATGTCTCCATATCTTTTGTCTGCTTTCTGATTGAATTGTTTGGCTTTTTTACTGTTGAGTTTTTGAGAGTTCCTTATCTATTCTAGATAATAGCTGATTCTTCAGATTCCAAATCCACAGGGAATGTAGACATAACCTTGCTTCTTCTATTCATTAACAGATGCCTGTGAGGGCTCCTGTCTCATTCTTACCTGGGATCTAGTTTACCCCACTGTGAAGCTGTGCCCAGGATTGCATGGGGGGAAGCCTTGCACAACAGCTGGCGCAGCCCTGGTCATCTGTGGCCTTGAAAGCTTCCTGGGCATGACCTTTTTCTCTTCAGATGTTGCTTACCTTTGATGATCAATTCCTGCTGACTGCTGCTGAGGATGGCTGCCTGTTCACCTGGAAGGTCTTTGATAAGGATGGCCGGGGAATCAAGCGAGAGAGGGAGGTGGGCTTTGCCGAAGAGGTGCTTGTGACTAAAACAGACATGGAAGAAAAGGTAAGAACTGGATCTAATGAAGAGGGACATGGAATTCCTTACCAGACTGCATTCAAATGCGGGTCCAGGACCAAGGCCCTCTACAGCCTGGCTACACCCTGTGTCCAGTGCAGGCCCCCACGGCTCCCTGCACATGCGCTGTCCACACAACCAAGCTCTCCTCCTCACTGCCACTGTCCACCCTACTCTGCCTGTCTTTCTGCCATGTGATCATCTTGACTTACACTGTGCTTTGCTTTTATTCTGTGATCTGGTTTTCCTCTTCCTACTCTTTGTAACCAAGAACAATGAAACATACAGTTCTCTTATGACCAACAGTTTCTAGCACATGCTGGGCACATGGAAGACAATCAATAAATATTTACAAAAGTAAAGTATATTCTCATTTAAATCTCACAACATCTCTCTGAAGAAGATACTGTCATTCTCCCCATGTTTCAAAAAACAAATTAGGAGAGCTTGAGGGACGTGTCCAAAGTCAGTGTGCTAATAATTAATAGGACCAGAGTTCTAATCCAGATTTAATCTAGAGCCCCCTCCTTTAATCACCATACCAAAGGAACATCCCTTCCTTCCTGTTGATGCAGTAAACATTTCATAAAGGTGCGTTTTGCGGAGATGTGAGTGCATAGCTCTGTGCTATGCTCCCTAAGGGAGAAGCTGAATGGATGATAAACACACAAGGCTCATGGAGGATCACAGAGCTACACAGTCATTGCTGTTTGTCCAGAATCTTAACTGTGTTTATTGAATACCTACCACTTGCTAGGCACTGGGGATGCATGTGTGAAAAGACAGGTATGGGCCCTGTGACATGACCAGGAAGTTCAGTCAGGTGAGGGATAGAAACAAGTAAAGCCATCAGAGCAGCAATGCAACACTGCCACAAAGCAGAGTGACAAGCCTCTGGCATGTGCTGGAGATCCCTTCTAGAGCTCCCTAGAATTTTCTGCAGTTAAAGCAAAGAGGGAGAAGAGGATGAGGGAGGGCCCCGTGAGAGTGGAGGCCTGACCTGCTGCAGAAGGAACCTCTCCTTTTCTCTGTTATCTTTTCTGTTCTTCCCAGAGGGTAGGGGAAGAGGCCAAATAGGAGACAGCAGGCTAAACCAAAGGCCTGAAGGTGCCCAAGCTGACTTCTGACCACAGTCCCCAGATGGACCTGACAGTACCACTGCCAGGCTGGAAATGACTCGCGCATGTACCGCTCCTTCTTGAAACTCCCTTCTGTCTTACCATCCGTGTGACCACACTCTGTTCCCTGTAAACCTTTCTGACTCCTCCTCCCCACTCCTGTCGTGGCTCTTCCTCCACCTGTCCCTTTAAAAGCATGTTCCCAGAATTCCCAGCTCTCTTTATATTCTATTATAGTCTATGTAACTCTCAGACCATGATTTACCTTCTCTGCCTAGGATTTACAGAGGGGTCTGCTGTGTACCTGACACTATACTAAGGTCTGGGATTATAGAGATAAAAGACACAGAGCATCCTTTAGCTGATAGCCTGGGAAGAGGGCAGAGTATCATAAAGAAGGGAATGAAACGTGCAGCAGAATGAAGTGTCATGAAAGAACGACGCTGTGGGATCACAGGGGAAGGAACTTGGCTCAGGCCAGGTGGTGCCAGAGGACATGAGCCTTGCTCAGAGCCTTCCAGAACAAATAGACAAGGGCCACTGAGCAATAAGCAGTGAGTGTGTGCAGAGGGATGAGGGAGCGGTGATCTGCAAAGCTGCTCCTAGTTAGGGTGTGCCAGAGAGAAGGGCTGAAGATGAAGCTGGAGAGAAACAGGTCAGGGGGGCCTTTTACACCATGCATTAGGCTTCACATTGTTCATAAGGACCGTTCATAAATTTAAGCTAGGGAATGACTTAATATGATTCGCATCTCGGAGAGATTACTCTGCAGCAACGTGGAGAACAGATGAAGGAAGGACACTGAACAAGGACCTCAAACACAACATGTCAAAGGCCGGGTCATTCCCATGGATAAATATATCCCACTAGCCAGGGCAGACCCCTGGGGTCATTGATAAGTATTCATTCAGTGCTGACCGTGTTGCTAGTTTTATGCTAGGTTGTGGGGATAAAGCGGTGAAGCAAGACAGGCCAAGCCCCACCCTCAGGTACCGGCCCTTCTACCTAGGAGACAGCCTTCATCCATGATCCTTACCTCTCCACCCCACACCCAATCAGGCACTACCCTCTCTAAACTCACTGTCTCCAACCTCTCCATTCCTCTCCAGTCCCCTCCCCTACCTCAGTCCAAACCCTGTCCGTCTCTCACCTAGTCTATGCAGTTGCGCCCCACCCACCCCAGCAACTCATCATCCTGCTTTTGGTCCTTCCTTAATCTAGTCCATGCTGCATACCGCCATGGGAGAGATCTTTATAACACCAAAGTCAGACTGATCAGCTTTGATGAGGACCTTTGGAAGCCCTCTAGGATAAAATCCAAACTTCCTAGCATGGCCTACCAGACCCCTGATGGTCTGACGCAGTCTTGGCTGCTCTTTCCTGTGCATCCCACCTGTGCCATGTCACATGCAGTGAGTGCCCTGGCCAGGCATTCCTGCTCCCTCTTCTCTGACTTTGCACGTGCAATTTGTGCTTATCCTTCATCTCAGTACTTCCTGTGCACCAGATCCTCACTAGTCTGCTGGGCAGAAATGCAGAAATGTGTGTAATTCAGTTCCTTGATATCAAGTCTTTCACAGGTGGTAGAGGAGACAGACCAGAAATGGTGAGATAGGGATGCACGGGGTTTCCCCGTAGGTAAGCAAGAAGAAAACACTGCATTCTGACCCACTCTTGTCATCAACATTAACTTTTTAAGGAAATGAAGGGTGTGTGTATTATAGTATTTTTAGAAAACTTTGGCATCAGTGAGTATGATGGGAGAAGACACTAGGCCGGGTGCAGTGGCTCAGGCCTGTAATCCCAGCACTTTGGGAGGCTGAGGCAGAAGGATTGCTTGAGCCCAGGAGTTTGAGACCAGCTCGGGCAACATAGTGAGACCCCCATCTCTACGCAAAATATAAAAATTAACCAGGTGTGGTGGGGCATCCTGCTACTTGGCAGGCTGAGGTGGGAGGATCACTTGAGCCCAGGAGGTCAAGGCTACAGTGAGCCGTAATCACACCACTGCACTCCAGCCTGGGTGACAGAGTGAAACCAAGTCTTAAAAAAAATAGAAAGAAAAAAGGAAGTATAAGAAGATACTTACTAGGCATAAAAACCAGTAAGACAGAAGAGTTAGGATTTAAAGTAATAAAAGTGAGTCTAAGAAGACATCAAGAGGGACCCAGCTTTGGGCACTTACCACGATTTGTAATAATGTGTTTATCTGGCTGCCTCAGTAGACTCTAAGTTCTATGGGGACAGGAGTCATGCTTTAGTAAATATCTTCTGAGATCCTACTCTGTGTTAGACACTGTTCTAGTACTTGGGATATATCAGCAAACAAACCCTACAAAGATTCTGGTCTACGTGGAGCAAGTTCTAATGGGGAAAGAAGAATAAAAATAATAAAATAATAAGTAAATTATAGAAAGTGCAAGATCTAAGGAAATAAGAAGAAGTAGAGCAGAGTAAGAAAGGTGATGGGTCCTGGGAATGGGAAGGGGTTGCAGAATTAAACAATGTGGTCCAAGTCAGCCTCATCAAGCAGGAGACGTTTAGGCCAACTTGAAAGAGATGAGAGCATTACTAGCACAATGTAGTAAGGACTTTTTGAGGATAGAGGAGGAAGCTCATATGTCTCCTCGTTTTTAGCCGGTGTGTCTTCTGGGGAAAAGATGACAGGTTCCAGTTGAGACACATTGAGTTTGAAGCTAGGCAGAGCTGCAGGTCTCAGGTCAAGGCCGCAGGTTTAAATATTCTGATTCACCCTCACTGTCAGTGTTCTTGATTCTCTGTCCTTCTCCCAAAGGCTCAGGTTATGTTGGAGCTAAAGACTCGTGTGGAGGAATTAAAAATGGAGAATGAGTATCAACTCCGACTAAAGGACATGAACTATTCTGAGAAGATTAAGGAGCTAACAGACAAGTTCATCCAGGAAATGGAGTCCTTGAAAACAAAAAACCAGGTCTGTTTAAGAGACTGACCAACAAGCGCAAATAACAAGAAATTTCCACTTTCAAGACAGGACTGTCATATACTGCCCAAGCTATGCTCAAACAGTAAGATATGTGAAAATGTCCAATTTTATTTTATTTTTTTTATTTTTTATTTTTTTTGAGACGGAGTCTCGCTCTGTCGCCCAGGCTGGAGTGCAGTGGCCGGATCTCGGCTCACTGCAAGCTCCGCCTCCCGGGTTCACGCCATTCTCCTGCCTCAGCCTCCCGAGTAGCTGGGACTACAGGCGCCCGCCACCTCGCCCGGCTAGTTTTTTGTATTTTTTAGTAGAGATGGGGTTTCACCGTGTTAGCCAGGATGGTCTCGATCTCCTGACCTCGTGATCCACCCGTCTCGGCCTCCCAAAGTGCTGGGATTACAGGCTTGAGCCACCACGCCCGGCGAAAATGTCCAATTTTAAAGCATAGTTGTTGATATCAGAAATGCCGGGCACAGTGGCTGACGCCTACAATCCCAGCACTTTGGGAGGCCAAGGCGGGCGGATCACTTGAGGTCGGGAGTTCGAGACCAGCCTGGCCAACGTGGTCCAGCCTGGGCAACAGAGACTCTATCTAAAAACATAAATAAATAAATATGCTTACAATCAATTGCCAAGTGAAAAAAAAAGCAGAATATAAACCACTTTATGGTGAATGGTATTAATCAGTATTAGTGGTATTAATAGATTAATCTATAGTAGTAAAATACATACAGAAAATAGATAACAGTACAATTATCTCTGGAAGTTGAGATTACAGACAATTTAAATTTTGTTTTTTATCCTTTATGTAATTTCTAAATTCTCTACAATGAGAATTATGATTAGGAGAAACTTATTTAAAAACAAAATGAAAAGAAAAGAAAAAGCAAGAAGATAAGAAAATCAAAGCATAGATGGAGAATAACTAGCAGAATTCCTGGGTTGTCAGGAAGTTAAATAAAATTAGTCTACATGGCCTTTACATAGTTAGATTTGGTCCGGGACTCTCCCAGATTCTTTTCTTTGTTCTACACAAATCTGGACTCCTATCTAAAATCCCCGCTGGGCAAGGTGGCTCACCCCTATAATCCTGACACTTTGGAAGGCCTAGGCAGGAGGATTGCTTGCATCTGAGAGCTTGAGACCAGCATGGTTAACATAGTGAGACCCTGTCTCCAACATAAAATTAAAAATGAGTCTGCCATGCTGGCATGTGCCCATAGTTCTAGCTACTTGGGAGGCTGGGATGGGAAGATTGCTTGAGCCTGAGAGGTGGAGGCTGCAGTGAGTCATGATCTCACCACTGCACTCCAGCCTGGATGACAGAGTGAGGCCCTGTCCCTCACCCCCTAAAAAAATTCCCAATTATGTGCTTGAGGGATATTTGTTTCTTTAATGTCTATGGGTCATAAAGTTTTGCTAAAAAAAAGAAAGAAAAACCTTGGCTATTAATTGTATTAATTAATTCATTTTATAATTTTACTCTTTTAGCCAACAGTTATTTGGTGCTGTATATAAGCCAGGCGCAAAGTTAGGTCCTGAAGATGGCACACCACCCCCAACTCGCCCCCCAAGCCTGAAAGCTTTCCTGCTCAGTTAAAGAAAACACTTGCTCAGAAGCTTTACCCATGAACACACCCAAGGATTTCATTGACAGCAATGTGCCGGCAACAGGATTCAAATGAATCCCTACTTTTTCATCCAGAAGTCCTTTTGACACGTGTCCAAAACTGAACTCATCATTGACAAACCCATTTAGTAGCAAGAATAGAAATAGGAACAGTATAGAGCTTTTCCAGCAGAATATAACATAAATAAAAGGTGACAATGTGGTTGTTGCTTCATAGAACAGTGCTTGGTGCAAAATAAGGGCTTGAGAAATGTTTGTGAGTGAAGAAGGGTGTAACTTGTAAAGTCAGTTCTTGCCCTCATAGTGCTTTCAGCAGATGTGTGTAAATGAGGAAATGTGACTCTGTTTTAGGTCTTAAGAACAGAAAAAGAAAAACAGGATGTTTATCACCGTGAGCACATAGAAGACCTCCTAGACAAGCAAAGCCGGGAACTGCAAGACCTGGGTGAGCCCACAAGTAGAGGCCTCGCTGGTTAGGGTTGGAAGAGCTAGGTCATGGGGAAACACTTGAGAGTCCCCCAGACACGGCAGAAGTCTCAGGGAATACAGCTCTGTCTAAAAACAGGCTACGTGTATCCCCTGGAACTCACGGTGGTTTTTACTCATTCACTCAGCACATTAAACACCTATTGCATGAAAGTAGGAGACATGGGAAAGTTCAAGTTTGGAACCTGACAGTCTTGCCTTGGGTCCCAGGCTCACCACGTACTTGCCAGGTGCTCTAGGGAGTCACCTCACCTTACCGAGCCTCACTTTACTCTTCTATAAAGTGGGGGTCCTAACACCTAGTTTTCACACTCAGGATATTCTTCTTGGCCCTGAGTCCCCAGATACCACTCTGTGCTTTCCTGGAAACTTTTCTTCCCAGAGCAGGCAGGCAGGGAGTTTGGCTACTGGATGAGATGACGGGATGAGGGGGTGGCGGTGAGGAAGCCAGGCAGGCATTTGAATCTTGGCTCTGGAGGCAGCTGCTCCAGCTGGTGCTGGAAGGAATGGGAAAGTGCCCAAGGCTCCTGGGTGTCCCTGAGGCGGGTGCTGCTCTGCCATCTTAAATACCTTCCTTGCTTCTCTCCAGAATGTTGCAACAACCAAAAGTTGCTTCTAGAATATGAGAAGTACCAGGAGCTGCAGCTCAAGTCCCAGAGGATGCAGGAAGAGTATGAAAAACAGCTCCGGGATAATGATGAGACCAAGAGCCAGGCCCTGGAGGAGCTGACTGAGTTTTACGAGGCCAAACTGCAGGAGAAAACCACCCTTCTGGAAGAGGTACTCACAGGAAGCCATGCTGTGCCTCCCTTTCCCAGAGAAAAGCCACCATTCACTCAGATCTCCATGGCATAGCCACTGTATGCCAGGATGTGTTGTACACGGGGACAGACATGGTTTCTACCGCCAAGGAACTTGTATCTAATGGGAGAGAGAGCCAAATAACATCGCAAATAAATATAACATTACGATTGTCACAAGTTCTGTGAGAGAAAAATATGGGAAGCCTGGGTTTCCAGTGAACAAGACCAAAGGAGAACAGGGATG